CCAGATAGGCTATTTCTGCTGCGAGATCTTGAATGCTCTCTCCTCTTTATCTACATGGCTTATTTCTTAACTTCATTTAAATCTGCATTAAGATATAATACTCTCAATGAACTTTCTCTTAGCACCCCATTTGAAATTATAATTCTACCACTCAGTCCCTATATTCCTTTCCCAGCTTTATTTTTCTCTATTGTATTTATAAAGACCTGAGTACTATATGTTTGACTTTTTTTTTTTTTTGCTTATCTTTTACCACAAGAATGTAAACTTCGTGTTAGTAGGGATTTTGTTTTGTTCATTGCTGTGTTCTTCAGTGCCTAACATGTAACAGGTGCTCATTAAATGTTTGCTGAATGTAAAAATGATTGAATACAAGGTCCTGCAGGATTGAGGCATCAAAGAAATGAATATAGGTTGTTTTTTCTTTTCTTTTCCTTCTTTTTATTCCCTTCCCTCCCCTCCCCTCTCCTCTTTTCTTTTCAGACAGAGTCTCACTCTGTCACCTGGGCTAGAGTGCAATGGGATCATCATAGCTCACTGCAACTTCAAACTTCTGGGCTCAAGGTGATACAGGAAAGTGGACCCCAAAAGTGAGGTCTAGCCTGAAGGCCAAGTGGATTCTTGGCTTTGTGCAGGAAAGAATTCAAGAGTGAGCTGACAGAGTAGGGCAAAAGGAAGTTTATTGAAGTAAGAAAAGGGGAAAAAAAGGAAAGCTGTCCCATGGAGCAGCAGCTATCTCTCAGAGCAATAGAGAGTAGCCCTTTGTGAGTTTCTGGGGTCTTATTTTATACCTTCTACTTAATTTTATGTTAAGCGAAAGGAGGATTATTCATAAGATTTCTGTGAAAGGGGTGAGGAGTTCCTGGAACCCAGGGTCCTTCACTTTTTAAACCATATAGAGTAACTTCCAGGAGTTGTCATGGCATTTGTAAACTGTCATGGTGCTGGTGGGAGTTTCTTTTAGCATGCTAATACATTATAAGCAGGGTATAATGAGCAGTGAGTGTTATCTGAGGTCATTTTTTCATGGCCATCTTTGTTTTAACTGGATTTGTCTGGCTTCTTCACAGTTTTGTGTTTTATCTGAGATTTTGGTTCAGATCTTATGACTCCTTATAGAGCAGGGCCTGCCAGTTCCCTATCTCAAAGGGATCCTCTTGACTCAGCCTCCTGAGTAGCTGGGACTACAGGTGTGTGGCAACCATGCTGGGCTAATTTTTCTATTTTTTATGGGGACAGGGTCTCACTTTGTTTCTCAGATGGTCTCGAACTCATGACCTCAAGTGATCCTCCTGCCTTGGCCTCCCAGAGTGCTAGGATTACAAGCATGAGCCACTACACCCAGCCTGGACAGATTTTCTTAAGATATTTCTGAAAATATGTTAACAAATTTTTATTTCCTTCCCCCTCTACAGGAAATCCTTGTCTAGGGTCAGCCATGGAAGGCTTCTATTTGCACATCTATAACAATTCTGAACTCTTTACAAAACCTTCAAATGATATGCATTTAGTAGACCTTAAGTTTCCAAGTGGCTAGAATTTTTGCTTTTATTTATCGTGTAAATTAGTGTAAGTGCTAACCTGAGAAGGTTTCTGGCTTCTAGTATCAGAATTTTTTTCATCAGTAAACTGAGGTTATTGGAAAACATGATTGTTAACATCAATTCTAGCATGCTATAAGTTTTTATGATTTACCTTATCCTAGCTTAATGAAATCTCTTACTATTCTATAATTATTTCCTTTATCAAGCATTGGGAAACTGCTGGGGTAAGGGAAGTACGAAATAAGGAGGAAGACATTAGATCTTCCAGAAGTGCAGGACCACAAGTTTTTGCTCAGGTGATTATTTATCAGTGTATCATACTCTGCCTGCAAAACAAAAAAGAGTAGAGGCTTCTGGCCAGGTGCGGTGACAGGGAAGCTTAATCCAAAAGATACTGTCACATGTACAAAGATGTGTAAGGAAGGAAGGGTACGCAAGAAACTGTGAATAGTGTCTGGGTATAAAAGAAAAAGGAGTTTGGGGTGGGAGGCCAACTTAAATCTTTGAAGTTCACTTTTTCCTATACTTTATATAGTTACGATTTTTTATATTAAAGAGAAAAGCTAAGGTAAAAAGATGCTTGTTAATGGGAGGTGGTGGGTTGTGTCTATAATCTCAGCTACTTGGGAGGCTGAGGTGGGAGGATTGCTTAAGGCCAGAAATTTGAGACCAACCAGCCTGAGCAACCTAGTGAGACCTCCTGGTGAGTCTCTTTTAAAAAAAAAAAAAAAAGCTTTCTTGCTACCTATGGGTATGAGTAACACAGTATCTACAGGTTCTTATTTCTAGTGGATTTTCTTGATCGTATTTTTATTCAAATGTTAACAATGCTGACAGTAGGATTCTTCATTGTTCAACCTGACTTTATGTAAAAAAAAAAATTTCTTAAGAAACAAGTCTCACTCTGTGGCTCAGGCTGGAGGTGCAGTGGTATCATCATAGCTCACTGTAACCTCAAACTCTTGGGCTCAAGCAATCCTCCTGCCTCAGCCTCCTGAGTAGCTGGGACTACAGGCATGTGTCACCACACCTGTCTAATTTTTTAAATTTGTTATAAAGACGGGGTCTCACTATGTGCCAGGCTGGTTTTGAACTCCTGGCCTGAAGCAATCCTCCTGCCTCAGTCTCCCAAAGTGCTGGGATTACAGTTGTGAGCAACCACACCCAGCCAGAAATCAATTTTTTTAATGTCCCATTTAATGAATGAAGAAACCCCAGCGCAGAGAGGTTAAAGACTGGCCCAAGGACACATAGCAAGGAGAGGCAATAGTCAGTATAATAGTATCAAACAGATCTGGGCTTGATTTGCGAACTTGAAGAAATCATTCCACCAGCCTGAGCCCATTTCCTCATCTGTCAAATGGAGACAGTAAGAATCATCGCACAGGATTGGTGTGGAAATGAAGACAAATGACCTGTGAAGCACTGGGCATAGTGGAAGTGCTCACTAACTGTAATTTTTATTTCTTTTCGTTCGTGGTGTCAGAGCCAGGACTAACTGAGAGACTGATGGGCAGGTAGCATCTACATTGTGGATATACTGAAGGGCAGGCATGGGACTTCATTATGTTACTAAGAATCGCACGAAATACAAAACTTACGAACCGTTTATTTTCTGTTTTTTTAAATAATAACCATTCCAATGGGTGTGATTTTAATACACATTATTTAGTTCTTAAACTTTTAAAAAAATACTTTAAAAGAATACAGAATAAAGGTCAGGATCTCCTGCCAGGCATGTCTCCTCCTCCATAGGCTGGAGAGGTTCTGCCTTTCTAGATCGTGGGCTCCTCCTGCATACTGTGTTAAAAGCCAGCAAGACAGGTCTACTAATTCCCTAAATACACATCACAGTCTTCTTCAAGTGTTCCCTCTCCCTGGAATCCTTCCTCCACTGATTCTCACCTCCCTCTACACCTTGATTTGGTGGAAGTTTTATTCTAGTCCTCAGATAACAGCTCAGGTCTCACTCTAAGAAATCTTCCCAGTTCTGTGCAACCTAGATTGATTTCTCAATTGTTATTCATATAAGCCTTATATTTTTGGTCTTAAGGACGTTATACTTTTTATTAGAGAGGGGTGTGTGTGTGTGTGTGTGTGTGTGTGTGTGTGTGTGTGTGTGTGTGTGTCATCCCCCATCAATAAGCTCCTGAACTCCGATACTGTTGGGACCATGTCTTACTCATATGTGGATCTTGTGTCTATGCCAGGGCAAGTAGGTACTGAGTGGATTTTTTGTGGCTTGCTCTTTTGCCTAGGAAATGCAGTCAGCAACACTTTTAGTAGTTTTTTTTTTTTTTTTGTACTTTACATCTACTTTTTTAGGACAGGTATTTTTTAAGTCAGCAATAAAATTAACTATAACAGGAGCTTCATTAATGCTACAATTTAGGATAGACAAATGTGAAAGGTTTCTAACTCTATCCTATACATTTCTCATATATCATTAGTCATTGTTGAACATTTTGGTCATGCTTAAAATAATTCAATACTGGGTGTGTATTTTAATGTGAGTTTTTGGTATCAACATTTTTAAACTTTAATTTATAATCTTAGAGTTAATGGAAATAATTGCCTCTGTAGATTATGGTTTGAAATTGCTAATAAATTCAGTTTTCATGCTCTTTAGCTCCTAAACTTTAAATAGTAGATACATTTTTTGTAAAGATCTACGTCTGAATTGAAAGGGGTCAAAATGTCTGAATAGTGACTAAAGCAGTAGAATGCAAATCAAAAGATAGAAGTACTAGACTCACTTTATTATTTACTTATGGTGTTCAGTAATCTAAATGCAGCATGGTATTCATCTCTTTTTCAAACTGGTAATAATAGCCCCTACCACTCGTTAGTTTATGAATTGCTTCATCGCTCCCATTAAAAAAAATTTTTTTTTTTTTTTTTACTTGTTTAGTAGCTCTTTGGAGTAGTTATGTTATCCTTGTTTCATAGATGCAGAAATTAAGACTTAGAGAAATTAAATCACTCAAGATTATGCTATCAGTAAAATAAGTAATATACTTGGAACTTATACCCCAGAATTTACCCCACAGTTAAGATGTTTAGTTACAATCATGCTAGGATGTGTTTCTTATTTATAGGATTCTATATAAATGCACTAATGTTACTATCAAAAAATTATCTTAAATCTCACTGTAATATTTATATTCCATTGCATGTTTAAATTGGTTTCTCTGGGTGGTTCCTGATAACAGATTAAACTTTAGGGCTATGATTTTCATTACTTTCTCCAAGTGGATTATTCAGAAATCTATCAATGCTATTTTTCTACTTTTTAAAAATTTTGCCTCGAACAGATGTTTTATTTCAAAATTACGAAATAATTTTTAAAAACATGACTAGTTAATGTTTAACTCTTAATATCCTTAAGACATTAAAATTTTTATTTAACACTTGACTAACATTCATTTTTCTCAATTTTCTATCTTTATTCTCCAGAATGGTAAATAACACTGATCATCTCTGGAAAGCATATTGATCCGCCTCATGTAAAGTATGCTCAGTTCCTTTCCAGTGGTGTAAGTATCTAGTCCTTCTCAATTCTTATCTTTGTAATTGTTTTAATAAATTTAAGAAGTCATTATGCTTATATTCCAAGTTTAACAACAGAAGTTTGTAGAGTTGAAAGAATTTTTTAGAAAACGAATCAAATGGTATACCTAGTTGATATTAAGGTGAACAAATGAGATGATCATTTGGTGAGGAATGAATTTTAAATATATCAACCTACTCTTTTACCAGTTCTATTTTTAACTTTGAATTTTGACATTAATTTTCAATTGAACATAATATTACTTGTTGTTTTTGACTGCTTTAAGCCTAGAAGCTAGTGAGATAGATGGCTGTTTGAGAGAGCTAGTGTTAGATTCCTTGTGACCAGCAGAATATTGGAAGTATACACCTTAATGTTGCCTTTCATGTGCTAACTCCTACCACCTTAGCCGTTTTCCTTTACCTACTGGGGATGATAATGTAGTTAAGCCTTTTAGCTAATGTGCTAGCCTTTCTTCAGAGTCAGGCAAGAAATACAAATTGAGATGGTGGTATTATGTTGAGAGTGTTTTTGTGCTAGGATATGAACTGTAACCACCAGTTCGTATTAAATAGGCCTTTGAATAAAAGTATTCCGGGAATTTCAGATATCAGAGAAGATAAAGTATCTATTAGCTCATTAAGAGCATCTTTAGAGCCTAATGCAGAGTGCCTTTAGCATAAGTATTTTCTAAAATTTGGTGGAGTCTAAGTTTCACTTAAATTCCTTTCATTTTGGTTGACAGTTCTATAATCCAGTAAGTAGACATTAAGATAGGTTTTTCTTATTATTTAAGTTTTTCATTAAAGTTTCCCTCCTCCCCCTCCCCATTGATTCTGTGATGTAGTAAAAAATTTCTGGACTAGGCCCAGAAGATGTAAACTGTAGCCTGAGTTTCCACTATGTAGCTTGGGAAGGCATTTCATCTTTTTGGGGCTTAGTTTCCCTTTTCTTTTTTTTTAACCATTTATTTACTAGCCATTAGAATGCCAGCCTCATAAAACCAGGAATTTTTGCCTGATTTTAGTCCTTGTTGTGTCCTCTATGCCTCATACAGCATCTGTCATATAGTAGTAGGTGCTCAGTAAATGTTAAATGAGTTGTTTTTGTGTAAATGGTCTCCAATTCTCTGATTCCACACCTAATTTCTATCTCCCGCTATAAACTTGAAGGTTTTTACTTGGATTTTGTTGTGTATTGTGAAAATAAGGAGATAAACAAACTATAATTTCACAAATCACAGTGTTTATTGCCATACAAAGAGAATTTATTTTTTGGTTCACAATACTTAAAGAGGGGGAGAATAATGTGGACAGACTTCACAGGGAATACACTTGATAGATGAGGTACATAACCACATAATGTGTTCCAAAATTATTAAAGTCCAGTTGCTCGATTAGGATGGAAGCAAGCCTCTGTGGAAAGTAAAGAACAATTAAAGATTGAAGTGTACCTTTCTATGAGCAGTCCTTGGGAGAAGCCGGCTTGTCCCTCAGTGCTAGAGGGCCGTGCAAGTGCTGGCCGCCAATCTTCAAAGCTGAGTCCTGTAGTAGCCTGAGCTCTGTCTTCGGAGAAGCAGCTGACACGGAGTATTCCTGCCACAGCCTAAGCTCCCAAAGTATCTGCCAAACTCTTGAGTTTATGTGTATTTTGAAGTCCAGTAGTTGGACAGTAACTCACATATGGGGACCAGTAAGGTATGAAGTAACATTCCCAAGGCGATGGGAAGTTCAAGGGGCCAGGGGAGAGGGAGTTCACTCTCTGATGAATGTTATCATTCACTCTAGAATGTATTAAATCATTATATAGTAAATACCACATGTGCAAAACAAAACTAACCTATTTTGCCTAGTCATTCTAGATGAAAAGATAAAAAGACAGCCGAATGGAGCTGAAGAAAAAGCTTTATTATCCAGTAAAATCTTATTAATTGTCGATGCTTTGCAATAAGGTAGTGCTGTCCTTTTTGCCCATGTAAATTCAAGGTTAATCATTTGTGAATGCTTTTACCTTCTTTGCTCTACATGTTTGTGGAATTTATTTTGTGAAAGTATGTTTTGGGCTTCATGCCTTATTCAGGAAGGGTTTAGGTACATATTCAAGTGATGATAAACTTTACTATGAAATACGTTATTATTACAGTGTCATGGTATGGTCTTTTCTTAGAACATCAGTTTATGAACTGAGCTATAATTCCTGAATTTAATTGTTCTTTTATGCCTTAAACATTGTCTGTGTTATTGCAGTGTTGAAATTCTTCTCACATCGTTTTCAATTATTGTTGGTCTGAGTCTGCATTCAAATTAGTAATTTAAAGTGAAAGATGTTCCTTATCCTGTGAACAATCCTTGTGCATAAGAAAATTAATTCAATTCTTACATGTTATCTCTTTCTGTTGTAAAAGAATTGCTGGTATCACGGACTGAGGTGACCTTTGTAGGTCGTATACTGCCATAATTTCATGATTATGTGCTTAAACTAGGTAAATTATGAGAAATAAAATTTGGAAATGCCAGAATGTACAATTTTGTTTATGTTAATGCATATTGGAATATTATTCTCAATATCCGAGAGAGCTCCTAATCTCAGCATTTTCTCAGTAAAATATTGTATCTTCAGTGTCACATACGTGATTTGATCCTGCTCGTTATGCCCTTGTCATTCTGCTCTGTAGTGATCATACATCCTATTCTAGTAATTGTGGATCTTTTGCTTTAGGATATACCTTTGCATCTGGGGCCTCTTTAGGTGCAGGGCACAGACATCTAATTTGAACAGGGTGAAACATGAAGGGAAGTGTATTCTCTCACACAACAAAACAGTAAAAAGCAGGGATGTATCCGGGGCTTAGCAATATGAGCACTGCAGAGCTTTCTCTGCATTTCTTGGTATGTCCACTTTATTCTCCCCCAAACTAGCTACTTCTAGTGGTAAGGAATTAACTAGACTGACATCTTCCTGTGACTGAGCACAGTTATAGTGACTGTTCATCTTCTCCCAGTCTAACTTGAAAATTTTGCGAGAGCAAGGCTTGCCTTCTTTGTGTGCCCACCCCATTGGCCATCCCATTGGCCAGAAGGTGGGGTATTCTGAGTGGCCCCAAAAACATGTTCTTGGAAACAATGAAGCGTTCTAGGCAAACAAAATAATAGGTGCCTACTGTTTCTCCTTTTATGATTTTTGGAATGTTAGGATGGATACTTTTCAGTAATAGGTGAAATTCATATATTAAATAATTTCCTTTTGTTTTATGCTGATATACAGAGTACTGCTCCATACAGGGAGAAGTTTAAAGAATTATATACAGATAACTATCTGCTCTGATATGAATAGGATAGGAAAATATCATGATTGGTTTTTTTTGTCCATATAATAAAATAGTTCTTGAAGTCAAATCTAAAGTAAGATAGGTTTATAAAATATTTTCATAGCATGAAGACTGAAGATAACACTGGACAGGTCTACTTCATTTTCAAGGGACAAGAATAAGGTATAAAAACCTGAATTTACCAAGTCATTAAATTAGGGGTAAAGTATTTGAATTACTAAAGGGATTTAGCAGCTACTTGTTTGTTTGTTTGTTTGTTTTTATTTGTTTGTAGGTGATTTTCTTTTTTTTTTTGTTTTGGTTTGGTTTGGTGTTTTGGGGAGACAAGGTCATGTTCTGTTGCATGGGCTAGAGTGCAGTGGTATCATCATAGCTCACTGCATCCTCAAACCCCTGGGCTCAAGTGATTCTTCTGCCTCAGCCTCCCAAAGTGCTGTGATTATAGGGCGTGAGCCATGATGCCTGCCCAAACCAGCTTATTTTTAGAAGGATTTGAAAGACAAAACAATCAGTAGAATAAAATAGAGACTCCAAAGGTAGATACAGATTTGTATGGGAATTTTGTGTATGATGTAGGCAGCATTTCAGATCAAAGGAGAAGACATATAATACTCAATAAAACATTGAACAGCAGGTTTTCCATTTGGGATGAAATGAAGCCCCAATCCTTTTACTTAAGTAAATATAAATTCTAGATGGGGCAAAGATTTTAAATATAAAAAACTACTACTAGGATCCCTAATCCATTAGTATTAGAGTGGTTTTATCTAAATGGTTTTAACTGGAAACTTAAAGGAACAGAACAGCCTATGTCCCAAATCATATGATTCCAGTAAATCCTACAGAATATTGGAAAGGAGAATGATGTATGCTTTTGGAGTCAATAAGATCTAGGCTTGAATTTTTTTTTTCTACTTCTTACTCAGACTTTTTGCAAGATACAAAACTATTCTGAGCCTTAGTTTTCTTTACAGTTAATCCATCAATATAAAATGAAATAGAGTAAAATAAATAATATGTACTACAGAGGGTTGCTGCGAGGATTAGGTGAGATTACATTATATGAAACTCTTATCCAATTCCCGCCTAGAAGTGACTGTTAACAAATTTTTAGTATAGAGATGAAGAAACAGTGTGATCTCCAGCAACTTAGGGGGACTGGCTCAGAGCAGACATTTATTTGTAAAGGATGAGAAAATTCCGTGACATCTGTTTCCATCAGCAAACACTTACTGAGAGCCTACTGCATGCCATGCATCATGTGTGGCACTAGACCAATAAAAATTAAAATAGAAGAGATTCCCACTTTAAAAAGTCTTGAATAGGAAAGTCAGATTTTAGGAGAAAGGAATTCAAGTAGTGAGAATTTTTATGATATTTGACAACTCTCTTAAACTTAGTATTGTTATTTACTCTAAGAAAATATTTTCTGGTGTGCTATAGCATCCTGTGCTAGTTAAAGTAAACATGTTGTAGAAGCACCTTCCTAAGAAAAGTGAATAGCTCAGTTTGGCCACAACCACGAAAGATCTATTTCTCAGGGTAGCTCTTAAGAGAGAATGCATTACAGAGATGAAAAACTCATGAAATTGCTAAGTACAGGATGAAATAGTGCTTAATAAGTTTTTTTATGTACCTCTCTTGCTTTTCCACTTAAATATTTTTGCTGGTTATTAGCATGTGCTTAGGCTTAGCTTAGCAAATAATTTGTTTTCACTAAATGAAGTTATAAAGTTCCCAGGTCAGTTTTGCTGATATTTGGTAAATCAAGATAATACAAAATATTTTTTCAGCAATTTTTTATTAATACTTAAAGTATATACATTTTAAATGGAAAAAAACACTCATGAATTATCACATAGCCTAGGCTTAATGCACTATGTGTACGTAATCTGTTGTTTTGGTACTACTGACATAACTAAAATTTTACGTCTAATATTTACTACATGAAATTGGGTTTTATGTTATAGTTTTTGTCTACCTGCTAATAAACTCAGTATCTATACCAATCCAGTTGCCTTCGCCAAAACATTCTGGCATGGAACATATCTTCTTATTTGCAGTAAAAAAGTTGATGTAGAAATATTGCCGAGCATTCTCTATAATGATATGTTCTTTGGTAAGACTGTCAATAAAGAGACTTCTGACTTCATTTTTATCTTTTCTTTTTTAGTTTGCTGGAAACCATGTCTCACTATACAGATGAACCCAGATTTACCATAGAGCAGATAGATCTGCTTCAGCGCCTTCGGCGTACCGGAATGACTAAACATGAAATTCTCCATGCCTTGGAAACTTTGGACCGTCTTGATCAAGAGCATAGTGACAAATTTGGAAGAAGGTCCAGCTATGGAGGAAGTTCATATGGGAACAGTACCAACAATGTCCCAGCATCTTCCTCTACGGCTACAGCTTCCACACAGACCCAGCATTCGGGAATGTCCCCATCGCCTAGCAACAGTTATGATACCTCCCCACAGCCTTGCACTACCAATCAGAATGGGAGAGAGAATAATGAGCGATTGTCCACATCCAATGGAAAGATGTCGCCAACTCGCTACCATGCAAACAGCATGGGTCAGAGGTCATACAGTTTTGAAGCCTCAGAAGAGGACCTAGACGTAGATGATAAAGTGGAGGAATTAATGAGGTTAGTTACTTTTCTTACTCAGAGTCCTCAAAAATGTCTGTGTTTTTAAATTGTTTTTAAAGTAATAACCTGTATTTCAGCTATTTACCTATAAAAACTGCAATTCCCCCTCCTTCCTTTGGAGATGAAAAAAGAATTTCAAATTTTATGTTTTTAATTAAAATTTTCTCTTCTCTACTTCAACCCTTTCTCTTTGCTACTTGATAAGCCTTATCCATTCTATTTATCAAAAGTTAGCCTTCTCTTTATGTTTCTAATAGCTAATTTCTGACTAACAGACATATTCTAATCCTTAAATCCATCGTAAGTACTTTTCCTAAGGGATAAGATCATTTTACCTTGATACAGAATATGTACACTCTTAACTTTTCCCGCCAACGTTCCAATGAAGAAAATAATTTTGAGCACCTACTACAACAAAAACTTTTTTTACACTTGATCTTAGCTGGAAGGCCAAGAAGTGATAATAAAAACTTTTTTTAAGAGGAAAAATAGACGTGGCTTCTACCCCTAAGAAGCTAAAGTTCTAATTAGCAATAGATGCTACAGCCACACAAACACCCGCCCCCCCCACACACACACGCACGTTATCTATTACAAGGTAAGTATCAGCACTTAGAGTTTAAACACTGAGAAAAGAAGTCCACTTTCAACGGAAGTAATTAGGAAAAGCTTCTCACTGGATCTGGGAGACTTTGAGGGCAACAGCCATGTGTTTTCCATTGTTTTCCCTCCAGGATCTAGAACTTTCCTTGATATGTGGTAATGGCTTAATATGTTAAATGAATGGATGAATTTGACCTAAATCTTGAAGAATAGTCTTTGTTTTGAAAGGTAGGACTTTGATTTGAAGTTAAGAGAATAGTAAAAGGTGGGAAGGGGAAGGCATGTGTTCAGTCTGATACAGATTGCAGATGGTGGTTGCTATAGTAATAAGCATAATATGTTAGGAGATGGTACAGGTTTTGGAAGACTTTGAGTTTCATACTAAATAGATCATATTTACTTTGGTTGGAATTGAGTTTTTACAGGTTTTCAGTAACAGCAATGATAAAAGCATTGTTTTCAATAGATTTTTACTACTGTGGAAGGGTGAGAACCTGTAGATAAATTAGTTATAGTAGATAAAGAAATTTTAGCAGTAATTTGTCAGAAATAAAAATAAGACCTAGAATTATGAGTTATAATTCTTCCTAAAGATTTTAAAACTTCAAGATAGAATAATGGTGACTTAATATTGCCACATGGAAGATCCATTCTGCAGTACCACAATGGTGAAATTTCCTTTAAACAAACTGTCCTGAATTTATTTGTAGGGTGGAACTGCATTTACATGGATTCTGGGCTAAATGGACTATTGTATCTAGATTGCAGTGTATACTTACAATGAAGTTTAATACAGCAGCCACAAGTCACTGTTAATAAGCTTTTAAAACTTTAAGTTTTAAAATATAAGAGATCAATTCGGCTTTGAATTTATTTTCACTTGTTAAAGCAGGTAGCCAAAGTTCAGATGTTGCTTTTGAATTTAACATATATATCCCTGTTAAGATTAAGACGGAGAACCGTTTGGGCAAATAAGTTAAATATAACAAGATTACCTTTTAATTATCCGGAGTAGAGAGGATAGCAACAGTAAAATTTATTTGTTAGCATGCCAGTGTGTTTTTTGTTGTTGATGTTGCTGTTAATAAGTTTTGATAAACTTTTAATATAACGGTTGATTTTCAAATGTGTATAAGACTAACAAACAACATGAGAAAACTTTCATTTTAACAAAAGTCTCTAGAAGATTGGTCAGACTAATAAGGGTCTAAAAACTTGACTTTTAGGTCATAGGTTGGCGTAATGTTTTAATTCAACTGTATCCTCATAATAAACAGAAAACCTGTTTAGCAATGGGTAACATTTATAGTTAAATCCCATAATTACACACATTCAAGTTTCACTCTAAAATATGTACAGGTTTACATGTTGTTATCAGTATTAATTTACATACTGCCACTGGTCACATAATTGGGATACTTGATCTTCTTCCCTTCCACTGCTTCTTTTGTGTCCTCTGATAATCTCGGCCTCTCAGTGGTTCTTCTGGCTCTTTCTCCCACTCCTGCTTTCCTCCAGTGTGCTCCACTCTCACTTCTCGCTAGTTTGCAGATGATAACAATCCTTCTTAGGCCAGAGGCAGAAGTTTATTGAATGATGTTCTCACTTGTAATCATTGTATCCGTGCTGTGAGGTTGATCAGAGAAACTGAAATTCACAAAAATTAAATAATTTGCCCAAGAAAACTTATATTTAATATTAGGTGGCAGAGACTAAATTACAACTCATATCTTTATTATCAACATGTTGCTGGTATGTGTTGCCTTTGTAAGTAAATTTTTCATGTCTATGGATTTTAGTAAGACTTTAGGAAAGGTGGATAGTATAACTCAAGACAAAGTATGAATGGCCTTAATAGGCTTGCCCCTCCTCTTCTCCCCCCATGATATTTGCTATTTCAAATCAATCACTTACTAACATAATGAATTTTTATTTGGGGGGAATATTAGGGAAATTTTTTGAACAGTGGATATTTCTGAGTATTGTGTGCCCAATATTATAGTGGATTGAAACTGGTGATCTCTGGTGGGGAGCATAGGTGCCTGAATGCCTTTCTACCTCCTTTTGTACTATGTGATTCACATCTTGCTTGCTCACATTCCTCAACCTCCAGGGCACTCAACCGTAAGACATATTTTTAAAATCATATAATTCATTGAGTGTACAAAAACTTAACTCCTAATAATTTTAAGGTACATAATGGAGATTTTTCTGTAGAACTTCATCAATTTATGACCGTGTACCTGATCAACTTTTTAAGACAGAGTGAGAAAGAAACTGCTACTGTTTCCATTTTTGTGCTAGGGTAAAAAAAAAAAAAGAAAAGCAAACTAATATGTGAATTCTCAACAAATTGTTGAATATAACATTTTAGGAAGGACTTTGAAGCCAAGAATGAAGACCCATTTACCACTTTAATGTTTTTAAAAATGCATCTATTAATATATGTATGGGGAGGTGTGTATGTATACATCTGCTAATATAATAGTATACATCTACTAATGTGTATCTGTTCTATTATGTATATATTATGAAACAACAATTTAAATGAAGCTTATTAGAATTAAAAAACAATGCCATACACACCACAAGAGCAGAAGAACGGCATCCATTTGTACTCGCCATCAAATTGGTACTAACTGATAAACACTAGGGTGATCACATGACAGAAATACTCTCTAGGGATTAGGGGGATGAGGGGGCAAATCTACAACTAAAGGACACGGGGAGCACTAAAGGGAGGGAAGAGCATGCCTTTAACCCGCATTTGGGTGAGACAAAGACATAAAGTGTAACTATAATGTTTGTACCCTCACAATACCCTGGAATAATAATAATAAAAAAAAAACAATGCCATACATTAAAGATGTTATTCTTAACCACTCATGAACTAAATTTTATGAGTATGTCAATATTTTGTACAAAATTCTGAGACTTTCTTCTAAATTGACCTATAGGCCTAACAATAGAGTATTTACTTTTGTTGGTAGGATATTTATGTTTTATAGGTAATAAGATGAAATGGTCATGTTATCCAGTTACCAGTTACCATGTCATTGATACATAAAGAGTAGCTTTTTTTTTTTTTTTTTTAGAGTTATCTTTTAAAATTTAAAGTTATGCTTTATTTATCTTCATGGGTGGAAATTCACAGTGGTAGGTTTTTATCTGAAAGTGAAAGAAATTTGTACATAATTGTATTTTTCCAAGTGTGAAATAGTCTGTCTTGGTAAGTATTGCTTCATCTCTGGAAGTCTTTGAGATAGATGACTACCTTTAAGGGATCCTAAAGAATGTGCAGTGTATATTAACTAAGAAGATATGGAAGATCTTAAAGCATATCATTTTTGTCCCAGAAAACGAAGCAATGTCATTTGAACTACGATAAATAATTCTTTTCCAATCTGATTTGGGAAGCTTAAACATATTTGAGAATAAGAATATAAAGCTGTTTTATAAATTATCTGGATCAGGTTTTCCATTTTACAACCTTTTATCTCCAACTACAGATTTGTTCATTCATTGAACAAATTAAGCTCTATTACATGCAAACCCCGTAATGAATAAGGCACAATCTTTGTGCTAAAGGACTTTGCAGGGTAATAGGAGAGATAAGATTAGGAACAACTATAATACAGAATAGCATGTAATGTATTAGCATGTGAGTAGTATAATTGAAATGTTAAAGTTAGCCATTGGAAGAAGAGATCTTTTTTAGCTATAAAGATCAGGGAAAACTTCTCTGAATAGACGACAGTTAAATTGTGTCTTAATAAAAGGTGATTCCACAGAGAGGCATTACTGATGAATTCATCCTGATATTAAGAAAGGTCTATAGGTTAACAGTGGAAAGTTTAGCAGGTTACAAAAATAATGGCACTTGCAGGTAGAAAGGAAGAATTTCATCCTGATGTAGAAATGACCCAGATGAATCTAGCATGGCAGAGGATTTGAAAAAGGTAGGAGGAGATGAAATGGATTTCAATTGGTTAGACGCAAATCAAGTGGGTAGCTTAACATGGAAGCTGTGGAATCAAAGAAAAGATCAGCCTACTCTTTAATTCCATAAGATTTGAGGAGTGGAAATTTTGAAGAGTATGAGATTTTATAAGAGAAGGGAGGAAGGATGGATGCATTATTTTAAGGAGGATGTCAAATTGCAGAAGAAGAGAGGAAATGAGGAGGAGGAGAAGATGAGAGGGTTAGATTTAGAATAAATGAAGTTTCCACACTAACAAACCAGTGATTTCACAGGGTACAATGAGGACAATAGGAGAGGCAGGTCATTAAAGAAGGCTGAATGAGGAGAGCATGAGGGGGATATGTGAAAGCTAAAAGAACAAAGCTAACCCAAGAGAATGGAACTTTTTGAAATACATAAGAGAACCGGACACAATGAAAGTTGAATGCTATTACTGTTTTGAAAATATCTAGTAAAACGAACTAAATGACACCTCACTGCTTATGTTTAAATTGACTTTATAGAACTCTTTCCATGGTGCCTTAAAGTACCTGGTACAGATGTTTACTTCAGTCTTATATGGTTGTAGCAGATCATTTGTTTCTTCTTTTCTTGGAATCATTTCTGAGATTTTATAAAATAATACTCAGCATTTATGTAGTACTTTTACAATTTCAGAAAATTTTTACATTTAAGAATTTTTGATTTTATATATTACACACATATTATGTGTATTTAATAGTTAATTTCATTGCTTAGAGAAAAATTTTAAAAGCCATGTGAAGGGATTATTTAATGTTCTCATTGTACCAGATGATAAAACCAGGATCTAACTTTATTAAATGATGTGCCCACACACACCTTTATCTTTTAAGATTTATGTTTTTATTTTGAAAAATCTTCTCTCTGGTAAAGCAGTAAAGAGTTTTTGATGTTTGGGGTTTTTTAATTTAAACTCGTTATGGGTGCTTAGAAACTTCTCAGATACCTAAAAATGTAGTCTATGAGAGTGTGAGTGAATTGCTGTGGTTTTACAGACTTCTGGGTTCCTTCAGTCTAGCTCAGTCCTTGATGATGTCATGCTGCAAGGCTGTGAATAATTTACAAACTGGATATTTCCTATTGGAATAATTTGAGCATTATGTCTTCTATATGATTTTTAGTGTCTACTCTAGATGAATTTGATTTTAAATAAATTGGATTTAAATTTCAATTTAAATAATCAAGAAAATGC